CATTCATCGAATGATTGGTAGGTTGATGCATATTTAAAATTTTGTTTGCAAAGAGATTTCACCGTTTTATCTCATTAACTTTACTAATTTACTTTTTTTATGAATGATTCATTGTAATATATATATATATATATATATATATATATATATATATATATATAAATTAATCACATAGAATTAATAAAAGTATCAATGTGATTATTGGCGACATCCGTCACTATAATATATGCATTAAAAATCCTGTTCATCCATAGTGCGACTTTTGATCCTTGAAGAAAAACTTGTTGTCTGTAGTTTTTCAGTTTATTCGATGTTAAAAAATGCTTATTTTTACGGAGGGTTCATCCATCAGGGTTTACCTTATAATATATACAGATATATCGTTTAGTTTTTTTTTATAATAAACACATGCCTGATGATGGATCGTCTCAAGTTTAGCATTTTAACATCGAATAAACTGAAAAAACTACAGACAACAAGTTTTTCTTCAAGGATCAAAAAGTCGCACTATGGATGAACAGGATTTAATGCATATATTATGTTTCCTAGTGACGGATGTCGCCAATAATCGCATTGATACTTCTTATTAATTTATGTGTGATTAATTTTGTATGTAAATCATATGCTGCCTAATGTTTTATGTTTATTAAAAACTATCGATCCGCAGTACAAAAAAATTCCTATAAAAAAAATTACTATTATGACACTACACTATATTATTGAACTATATACTTAGTTCATGACATAAAAACTGAATACACTTGTAAAAATAGAATACGTGGATTTAACACATCACAAGAAATATTTAAATAAAATTGTCACTTAAAATTTTGAAAAACTTAGCGTTGCGTCCTTGCACGTTCCGAGATCTTACAACTGTCAATAATAGCAGATATTCAAAAACATCTTTCGGTCGACATACAGATATATCGTCTCAAGTTTTTGATTTTATAAGAAAAAATAAACACATGCCTGATGATGGATGGTAGACCCTCCGTAAGTACTAGCATTTTAACATCGAATAAACTGAAAAACTACAGACAACAAGTTTTTCTTCAAGGATCAAAAAAGTCGCACTATGGATGAACAGGATTTTAATGCATATATTATTATTTCCTAGTGACGGATGTCGCCAATAATCGCATTGATACTTCTTATTAATTCTATGTGTGATTAATTCTTGTATGTAAATCATATGCTGCCTAATGTTTTATATATATATATATATATATATATATATATATATATATATATATATATATAGAGAGAGAGAGAGAGAGAGATAGAGAGAGAGAGAGAGACAGACAGACAGACAGAGGCAGGGAATGAGACAGGGAGATAGTTCCTCTCTTATGGAACACCGAGTTCCTTTTAATGCCACATCCGAGGACTTGCTTATGTAGCGATATCAGTGTCAGCTGATATCTTAATAAATGAAAACATCTAAAAGATGTTACAGAAATTGTTTCGACAGTTATTGAGTTGATGATTATCAACTAAGTGAAGTATATCTCACGAGAACTATATCAAATGACCCTGGCAAGGAAGGTCATTGAGTGGGACAAAACTCTGGGTTCTTGATAAACTACTTTTATTTAGAAAGATGACAAAACAAAGAACGCTGTTCTCTATATGACAGTGGTCACTAGCAGCCGAAAACAGATGAACACACAGAGAATCGGACGAGAGACCGCTCACAGCGACGCGAAAAGGAAGACACGCTCGTTAGACTGTTCGCTTCCTCACCTCCCTCTCACCTTCGTCTCGATCCTCTACGTTATAACCAGAATATGATTTGCCTATTATTACAATCGGCTCATGGTTTTATTTCGTGGCTAATGATCTGGTTAAAGAATAATTTTTAAGGCATAAGCGTTTGATTGGAAGGAGCGACATTTTATATATATATATATATATATATATATATATATATATATATATAGATAGATAGATAGATAGGAGTAATGGTGATATGTTAGGTGTCAACAATCGTGGAATCTCTGCGCGTCCAACTAGCAGTTATTATTTTATGGATTTGCTTATTTACACCTGGCAATTATTGTTGGAAATTGAATGAGAGAAAGTCTCCTCAAATCTCCAGCATCTTCCTCGGTATCCTTGTGATTTTAATATTATGATGTATCTGCATTTTCACATTTGATGCCTGGTTGATATCACTGGAAATTCATTTTCTCTATTGTTTGTTTTATAAAATCATTTGATTGAGATTTAGATAATTAGAATGAATCCCAGAATATAAGTCTGCAATTTTAACGCCTCCAAAACTAAACTGATCTCTTTAATACATTTTATACGTCTTCGTGAACATTTTCCGCCTCCCTTCAGCTTAGGTATGGTGCAACCAGTGAGGATCGAACTCATTTTTCATTTGTAATATTTCAATCAAGACAAATGTGCTAACCATTACACCACGTCGAGGTTCTTTGGCTTCTACTGATATGAACAGGGATGATTATACAGAGTCAGTTCCTAACTTTGCTACTAAGAAATTTGGCTCACGATGTTGTGTTAGACAGTTTTTTCATTGGAATCTGTTTTGCACATCTCTAAGATTTACCATTAGTCTTCTATTCTGATGCTTTTGATATGTATGTAGTGAGCTTTGGAAAAATCCATAGAATCTGTAATGTTATCGATCCTAACCTGGAATCTCAGTTTCACTCACTTTCCCACCGCCGTAACATGGCTTCCCTCTGCCTTTTCTATTAATATTTTCATGACAATTGACCTAATGAGCTATCCTCTTTGGTATCTGGACTTCATCAATTTAAGTGTAGTACAAGATTAGCAGCTAGGTCTCATCATTTTACTGTTTGAGCTACTAGTTATAACCGTGGGTACTATTCTAATATTTTCGCCTTTCACACTTCACGCCTGTGGAATTCTTTTCTAGTTTCATGCTTTCCTGTCAACTTCGATTTTCAAAAAATTAAATTCAACCTCATCATATCGCTTTGAAGTTTGTTCTTTTATTGTCCTTTCTTATCAGTAATGTTTTCTCAGTTCCCTTCATAATCAGCAACTTCTTGTATCTTAGTGGCTTTATCGCCTTATTTGGGGCGAAATGATTAACAAAATAATAGATAAACGGTTTTGTTAAAATTGTGATTGTAAATTTCTGTTTCAGTTTTAAGAAATTGGAGAAATCATTTAAAGTCATTTTTCAGTAAACCACTTTGTATGTATTAAGAATCTGTGAAAGCCCCTAAAAGCATTCATATCAGCAGAGTCGGTAACTAAAATCAAATACGATACTTACCTATTATGCAAAACGGAATGGCCACGAGGCTAACGCAAAGATCGGCGATACACAAATTCACTAAAAAGATTCTTCCAGCTTTATTTAATTTCTTGTTCATGGCATGGACAAACAGGATCAGAAAGTTTGTCGTTCCACCCCAGAAGGAGACCAGCAATAGTAAAATCAGGTAGATTATTGCCACGAATGGTTTCTCAGCCAGCAAATTTCGAAATTCTGGTGCGTCCGAAACGGTGGTCAATGGCAGAAATGTTGAATCGTCCATCATCGTTTCCTGTGTTTAAAGGAGGAGGGCTGTATTAAAAGAATTTTTCGGGGAGAATGTAGGGAAGAGAGAACGCCGCCTCTGTTTTCCCAATTAATGTTAAGGTGCAATGTATAAAAAAGATTAAAAAATCCGAAAGTGAAATTTGAACGAAAATTTACATTTATTAAAAAGACATTAAAACAGAATACAATATATAAAAATAAGATTGCACAAAAATTACTTTTCGTGCGCCTTCAGTGCTCACTTTAGGTCAGATAATATTAAAAAAAAAAGTACAAATTTTGTTGGGCTCAAACAAGACAGTTACGCATATTTAATAATCGAAATCTTGAGAAGGTTGACTAGTTCACTAACGTCACTGGGTCTTAAACAAATTTATGGAACCACAATATCGAGATAAATCTCGTTTAATTCTTTTTTAAACAATTCAAAAATTAGGTTTGACGTGTCGAATTTAGGGAATTTTTCAGTTTTCTTTTCTGCTTTTGCTTTCACTTCTCTTTATCGGCGGCGTTAACAGAAGCAACCATTGGTCATCCGCTGCTGACAGCGAAAATCCTTGTCTCCCAACTCTTTTCCTTAAATGGGCTTGACCGGGCTTTTTAATTTGCGTGGGAGGTATTCACCTTCTTCATTGGCTAAAAAATCCCAAAATATATCCGTTTTGAAATTTGAAATAAAATCTTTCACATTAACAAAAAGTCAGTTTTATTTTTTACAACCTTACATTAGGTCGAGCCATTTTTTATAGAAAATTTAAAAACAAATTTTATTCGTCATATTTACTAGATTTTTTTGATACCTAAGGTTCAAAATAAATTTTTAAAAATGATAAATCTTTCTTGAAGCTTTTATTTTAGTTTTAATTTCAAGCTAATAGATTAAATTTAATATTTCAAATAAGCAAAATACAGTGTTGTATTTCAAAAACCAATTTAAAAGTAATTTAAATTGACTGAAAGAAGGCGTATTTTGATAAAATAGCTGATTAGCACCAGTTTCTTTAATTGTCTTTCATCCCAATGTAATTCTATTTATAAAAATTCTTCCAAAAATAAAATATACTTTTCAGAAACTTTATTTGAGGAATATTAGCTGATTTAAAGTATAAATAATCTGAATTGAAAAAATATTCTGAGTACGTTCTCAATGTCAGCGTTTCTATTATTAATATATTTAACTGGGAATCAATATAGGAAGTGACCAAAAATATCCGTGCGATATTCTCTTTTAATCAACTTTAAAAATATAAACCCTCCAAAAATTCGTAATCTTTTTAGCACCAGGAAAACTACACATAACATTTACTATCAGAGAATATTAGAACAATATATCAGTATGGTGGTCGAAAAGTAATAGACGAATTTACACCTGAAATAAAGAAGCCTAGTAAGATCCGCCCGTAGGGGATACACTGTATTTGATGAAAGTGAACTTCAGAAACATACGATTCTAAAATGTTTCAAAAGGTTTTTTAAACTGGAAATGAGTCAAAAGAGGATGATCGGTAAGGTCTATCACAGGTGTTAAAATGAGACGCCGTACTGCATTTGAAAAAAAATATACACTGGGAAAACGGACTGCCTTAAAAGTTAGTGAATGAAACAAGCAGAAGAAAAAAGAAAAGAAAAATAAGTTATTAGTATATTTGGAATATAAATACACGTGAGATTTTGATTCTGTTTCATCTGCTTCAAAAGCTGAGTACATCACAGAATGTTTAGAAAAATCTATAACAAATAATATTGAATTATTGTCTCTCCTGGTCCTAAAGATGCTATTTTTTAGAAGACAGTGTCAGAAAATTTACCTTACATGTAAAAAAAAAACAAAGTAAAAAAAAACAAAAAAACTGTAGCTTAAAGTGTAAATGAGTATAAATTGAAATCTGTGATAAAGAGTTTTTTATTCAAAATAACGAAATAGATTAATTTCAAAAATTGATTATTTCTGCATAATATAAATAACACTCACATGCATAATATATATACAAATCCTTCTATATATATATATATATATATATATATATATATATATATATATATATATATATATATATATCGTGGGGGGAAATAAATATTCGTACACTTGAAAAATTGTATTTTTATAAATGTAAAAGCCTTAAATAAAACAAATTTCGGTACATTTTATGTATAAAGACACATACTATTAAATAATAATAATAAACTTAATTAATTCTTATTCTAACAGAAATTAATGCATTTTTTAAATTCTAGCTGGTGAAAAAAGTATTCGTGCAAATCAATTATTAAAATAAAATAATCAATTAATTAGGAAAAAGTATGTTCTAGAATGTTCCAGTAATGTTATCAGTAATTATACAGTGTAACCCGGATATAAGAGACCCGGATATAAGAGAGATTTTCTCTGGTCCCAAATTAGAGCCTGTGTTAATGTATATAAAATAGACCAAACCCGGATATAAGAGAAACCCGGATATAAGAGAGATTTTCTCTGGTCCCAAATTAGAGCCTGTGGTAATGTATATAAAATAGACCAAACCCGGATATAAGATAAACCCGGATATAAGAGACTTCTTCTCCGGTCCCGACAACTCTCTTATATCCGGGTTACACTGTAGTTAACGCTATTAGCCATTATCAGAGCATTCTGCAATTTCTAGTCTTAATAATGTCTAAATGTAAAGAATTGACTATTTCACAAAAACAACACATTTTGTCTCTTTGGAAAGATGGAAACAGTTACAGAACGATTTCTAACAACCTGAATATTCCTTTTACTACAATTGCTTCGTTCATTGCAAGGTTTAAAATTCGTAACAGCGTCGAAAACCAAAGACGAACAGTTGCTCGGAGGAAGATTTCTCTAAGATCAGCAAGGATATTAGGACGCCAGATTCAAAAAAATCCACAGGTTACCCGAGAAAAGCTGCTGGAAGTAATAAGCTACACAAAAACAGTCTGAAATCACGCATCCCAAGGAAGACTCCACTCCTCTTGAAACAACACAGAGATGCTAGGCTAAAATTCGTTAGAGAGCATAAGGATAAAGAATATTCGTTTTGGGAAAAAGTACTATGGACAGATGAAACTAAAATAGAGTTATTTCGTCATAATTATCGAAATCATGTGTGGAGGAAGGCCGGTGAAGCCTACTTACCAAAGAACACGTTGCCAACTGTAAAGTTTGGTGGTGTCAGTATCATGATCTGGGGCTGTTTTTCTGCAAAAGGGGTTGGCAGAATATCAATAATAGATGGTAAGATGAATGCCGAAAGCTACCAGAAAATCCTGCAAGACAATTTAATGCGTTCTGTTGAGAGACTTCGGCTACCTCCTGATTGGCTTTTCCAACTGGATAATGATCATAAGCATACCGCTAGATCTACAAGGAAATGTTTAGCTGAAAGTAACGTTGGTGTCTTGCAATGGCCAAATCAGTACCCAGACTTGAATCCAATCGAGAATTTATGGCGATATTTGAAAATTCAAATTGGGAAAAGTGCACCAACAATTATCAAGAAATTGAAGACAATATGCCAAGAATAATGGGACAAAATACCACTCAATGTGTGCAAATCATTAGTTGAGACGTACAGGAATAGACTGGTAGCTGTTGAACTTAATAAAGTATATTCCGCAAAGTATTAAATTAAGTTAATATGCTTTTTGTTCTGTACGAATACTTTTTTCATCAGTTAAAATGAAAAAATGCATTAATTTCTGTTATAATAAGAATTAATTAAGTTTATTACTATTTTTTAATAAAATGTATCTTTACACATAAAATGTATCAAAATTTGTTTTAGTTAAGGCTTTTACATTTATAAAAATACAATTTTTCATGTCTACGAATATTCATTTCCCACTGTATATATATATATATATATATATATATATATATATATATATATATATATATATATATAGTGTCATCCACAGACAGATTGTTTCGCTGTTTCACAGCTCAGCGTGGCTAGACATCCGATTGCCTCAAGCCGGGATCGGAACACGACTGATTTGGTACCAGTCGTACACCATTAATATATTGGCAAACAACAGGGATGGAAGGCGAAATTTGACGTATTTATTTTTAGATAAACACGCCAGTGACTGGAGAATTGATTCGTCTTAATGAAGAGTCTTGCATCAGCAGCAGCAAGAGTCACAGTTTACAAATTCATTTTTGTCCCCGATAGCTTAACCGAAATATATATGTGTGTGCGTGTATGTGAGTGTGTTTCGTTAAAGATAACTGACAAGGTACTGCGATTAAGCTTTTTATTTAATTTTGTGCGACCACAAGACAAATTAAATAAAAAGCTTAATCCTTGTACCCTGTCAGTCATCTTTAACTAAATATGTATCAAAGATGGATTACTGCACAAATATATATATATATATATATATATATATATATATATATATATATATATATATATATATATATATACATATAGCGGCCATAATATAAGGAACGGAAACAACAAAGACATAAATATGTGTATTACATAAAAAGTAATGCATGATTAGGAATGAAATTTTTACCGAATAAAGATTACGGTGTAATGCATAAATATACAAAGTTACAAAAAAAATTCACATAATAGTTTGTTTTGTTTTTTTTTTTAAATAAAGATTAAATGGAACAAAGGAAGTAAGCTACTGGACAAAGGTTAAGGAACGATGTTAATAATTTGCATAAACTTTTAATTTACATTGTTAAAAAACTCGATGGAGCTTTTCAACAATAAGTAAAAATTCATTTATCATTAGGATTTTATTTTTAAGCAATATGGCAAATTCTACACGCAAAACCCTCTCTTTTGAAGAAAAAAAAAACTCATTATCGCTATCAAGAAAAAAAGTCAATTTCAGAAATTTTTGATATTGTACATAAATCTAAACGTGTTGTTTATCGTGTAATTAGCAGGTATAAAACGGATAAAATGTTAGATGCAAAACCAAAAACTAGCAGACCTCCAAAACATCGTAAAGAGAAGATCGAAGAATTGTTAGAATATCTACAAAAAACGTTTAGAAATTGCTACAGCAATTGCCCGTAAATTTAATGAAGAGACAGATGATAAGATCTCAAGAAAAACGGCTGCTCGCAGGTTAAAAAATACAGGATTGCATGCCCGTATTCCAGCTTCGAAGCTTCTCATTTCAAAGCGAAATCAAAGGGCACGCCTGGAGTATGCGAGATAACATGTTGTTTAGACTGACGCACAATGGGATACAGTTCATTTCAGTGACGAGTCAAAGTTTAATATATTTGCTTCTGAGGGCAAAACCTATGTACGCTGTAGAACAGGTGAAAGACTGTCTTCTCAATTAAAGATGGTCGACGTGTGTTTCTTATAATATGTAGATTTAACAGACCGGTTAATGTAATTTGGGGAATAAAATCTTTCTCTTCATACTTCAATTTAGTAAAAAAAATCCTACTAATATATTAATAAATATAAATATTATCCCTCACTCTAATCTATATTTAATGGCTCTCTTATATTACATCGAGCACTATTATATTAACACCAGCACTCAATATATGATATCGTACACACATATACACACACACACACACACACACATATATATATGTGTGTGTCTGTGTGCGTGTGTGTTTGTTTGTGTCTGTGTGAATAAACGTGAAAATATGTATTAACCTGAATATATATATATATATATATATATATATATATATATATATATATATATATATAAGATAAACTTATAAAGTGTATTCATATCAGACGATAACCACAATAATTGGGAAGCAGGCAAATCGACTTTAAATCATTGAAAAGTAAATGAACTTACGGTTTTGAAACACTGCTACAGTCGCTGCGTAAGAGAAGATAATGACTTCGTTCAATGAGATTTCTTTAAAATAGATTTGAGGACTAATGTGTTTAATCCTTACAAACACGATGAATTTTGATTTTGTTTCGTTCCAAAACGAACATTATAGCAGCACTGTCATGACGTTATCAAAGGCATTGCTTAAGAAGTTTTTCCTAAAGACATCGCAGATCAATGGCACAAAACAAACCATTTGATATTAGTTGATATTCTCTATGGAACAAAAGCTGACAAGCAATTTATAAAGGAGATGTCAGTCGCTTTTCTATGAAATAGAATTACAATCAATTTTCCATATATGAAAATCAATGACTCGGATAATTTCTGGCTTTGATTAGTTAAATGCATATCAAAAGATGAATACAAACAAAATATTACCCTGTCTTCTTTAAATAAAAAGATTGTTTTAACAATACTCGAGGGAAACATTTTATTTGTATATGGTAGGATTGTCGCAATAACAATGCAAAAGTAAAGAACAATAGTACATGGAATTGTAATTGGTATAATAAGCAAAATAAGTAATCAAATGAATTCTTATTTATCTTTATATTTTTCCTAGAGCCAAGCGCTAAACTGTATTCGAAGCTTTTCAAAGTTTTATATATATATATATATATATATATATATATATATATATATATATATAAAATATAAAATAAAATATTAAGATACCCAACAGGTAAGCTCATTAGAACAATTAACGCGAAAATATTTATAAAAAAGGTACAAGGAAGCACAGGAAAATAATGGGAAAGTAACTGAAGTCAAGATGCCAGGTTATTACTACAAACTTTGCAGATTTTTTAAAATTTTATTCAGAATCTCTTTATATATAGATGAAGCACCAG